GAGCAAGAGACTTGGACCAGCAGGACCTTCACCCCAAATCAGGTCACTCTAACACTTCCCAAAACTGGTGTTGGCCAGCTGGCCCTGAGCTGGGGTGTCACACATCCAGAGGCCCCTGGACACAAACCCAGTGGCTCCCTGGTGGCTCACCTGAGGTTTCCCCTGTCAGTGCTCACCTGAAGTTGTCCTTGGCTCACCTGAAGTTGCCCTTGGCTCACCTGAGGTTACCCTTTGCTCACCTGAGGTTGCCCATGGCTCACCTGAGGTTGCCCTTGGCTCACCTGAAGTCGCCCTTTGCTCACCTGAGGTTTCCCCTGTTGGTGCTCACCTGAGGCTGCCCTTGGCTCACTGAGGTTGCCCTTTGCTCACCTGAGGTTGCCCATGGTGTCTCACCTGAGGTTGCCCATGGTGTCTCACCTGAGGTTGCCCTTGTTGGTGGCGTACTTGATGTGGTTGCAGATGTAGTTGAACATCCCGTGGGCCGTGGTGCAGTCCCGGGCGTCGAACACCTGAAACAGGGACACGGTGGCTGTGAGGATCCTGAAGGACATTCCAGCTCCCACAGCAGAGCCGGGCAGAGCAAACACAGCACACGGAGAACTCCCGGTGCCGCCGCGGCTTCTCAGGGATCACAAGCTCTGCAATTACGCGTTCCCTGCCTCGGGAACACGGGGATGTCTAATCCAGCTGCCCCTTTTGCTTTGGAGGGGTGACTCATCTGCTGCCGAGGCAAAGATCTCCTCGTTCCCGTGTTCCCAACCTGCCACTGTTCCTGTCTTATCCCCAACAATTACGGGTTCTGCTCTGCTCCTCTCGTGGATCAGCACTCAAAGCTGGAACAGGACRGGGTCAGTCAGATCTGAGSGACAGCGAATCCTGGAYTGGTTTGGGTTGGAAGGGRCTTTTATAGCCCATCCAGTGCCACCCCGTGCCATGGCAGGGACACCTTCCACCATCCCAGCATGCTCCAAACCCTGTCCAACCCGGCCTTGGACATGTCCAGGGATCCAGGGGCAGCTGGGAGAGCATGGAGAGATCAGGAGAGAGGCTGTGCTCATTGCCTGTGTGAGGCAGCCACAGGAACTGCTCAGCAGTGCTGGATTTGTTCCAGGTCGCGGGAGGAGAGGACATCTCTGTACCCAGGGATTCCCCAGGGATCACCAGCTCTAGTCCTGCTCTGTGCTTCCTCTTGCCAAAAGGGCACTGAGCCAAATCCCCTCCTGCTGGATCTCAGTACCGAGGACAAGAGCGTCCTGCTGCCTCTCTCCAGGCTTGGAAGCAGCAGGGAAGATGTTGGAGCATGATCTGATTTTGGGAAAATGTCCCCTGGAGCACCAGCTTCCATTTCAGACACAGCCACCCCACGGATGTTTTTCCAGCTCCTGCCGCTATCCCACAGCTGCTGAGGGGAGCTGTGTGTGCTGAACAGCTGCCCCTGGACCTGTGCTGTGCTTCCCAGGTTTGGAGAGCAGGGTTTGCCTCTCCCAAACCTTAGCACAGCCTTTGGCAGGAATCTCTGGGATGTCTCCAGTGGGATTGGTGCATACCCACACCCTGGAGCACTGGATCACTGGATCCCAGTGGGAYTGGTGCTCACCTGCAGCTTGGAGCACTGGATCCTGGTGGGATTGGTGCTCACCTCAAGCTTGGATCACTGAATCCCAGTGGGATCAGTGCTCACCTACACCCTGGAACACTGTATCACAGTGGGATCTGTGCTCACCTGTGCCCTGGAACACTGGATCCCAGTGGGATTGGTGCTCACCTGCAGCCAGGATCACTGTATCCCATTGGGATTGGGATCAGTGCTCACGTGCACCCTGGATCATTGGATCCCACTGGGATTGGGATTGGTTCTCACCTGCACCCTGGAACACTGGTTCCCACTGGGACTGGTGCTCACCTGCACCCTGGAACACTGGTTCCCACTGGGACTGGTGCTCACCTGCACCCTGGAACACTGGATCCCACTGGGATTGGTGCTCACCCGCAGCTTGGATCACCAGATCCCACTGGGATTGAGATTGGTGCTCACCTGTGGCCAGGATCACTGGATCCCAATGGGATTGGAGCTCACCTGTGGCCAGGATCACTGTATCCCAGTGGGATTGGTGCTCACCTGTGGCCAGGATCACTGTATCCCAATGGGATTGGTGCTCACCTGTGGGCAGGATCACTGGATCCCAATGGGATTGGTGCTCACCTGCAGCTTGGACCACTGGATCCTGCCCACGCAGCGCGCCGCGTTCCTCCAGGCGTGCTTGGCCCCGTAGATGAGCTC